TAGTACACAAGATGCTTTGATTTTCATTTAAAAAATAAGTTGGAACAAGAAGGCCTCTGACCTTGAAGACGGAAGCTTTAGTTACCAAAACTAACACCTCAATTAACAAAAAGTTACACAAATGAAGTCCCATTTTAAAATTTAATGTTTCCTGTATCTGATTCTGAGGGAAGTGAGGTTCTTTACATTTTTTGGAGATAGAGGAAAGAAAGAAAGAAAGAAAGAAAGAAAGAAAGAAAGAAAGAAAGAAAGAAAGAAAGAAAGAGCAAAAGAAAGTAAAGCAGGTGCTTAGCACACTCAAGCCCAAACAGCATGGCTGTTCGCAAGTACTGCTCTGCCAAACGCCGAGTTTGTCGCAGCAGCGTGGCAGCTGCAGTCACCCAGGTTACGAGGTGTTGTGACTGTTGTGAGCCTGGGATCCTTTATTCCCCTAACCTGCACTGTCATGACTCTGAGTCTGCCCCAGGAGGCAGCAGGAAGGATGCTGAGGGGACCCCTCCCCGCCGTCCACTCTTCCTCTATCTCCAAAGAGGGCGCCACCCAAGGGTATGTCCAGATAAGACCAGGAGCGAGTGTTGAAAGTGTCCACTGGTTCAGAAGAGGCAAAAGGGGGTGCTTTCAAAAGTACTATAATGGTTTTCGGTACTTGGGATTGCACTAGGGCCTTCACACTGAGTTACATCTCGGCATTTTTATTTTTATTTTTATTTTTTTAATGTTGAGGCGGGGTCTAAGTTGTCCCGACTGGATTTGAATCTGAGCTCTTCATGTCTCAGTCTCCTGCGGTGCTGAGATTACAGGTGTGCCTGGCTTATAACACCTTTTTTAAATGTTGTATGCTGGGGAATTTATTTCAGGGTAAAAAACCTCTCAGCCCCTTGCTGAAGTGTTCAGTTGGCCATTCTCCGCCTCCTGTGTAGCTGTGCTCTTTATCTAGTTTAACCTCCCCTTCAGAATCACAGTGTCCTGGCCCTGACCTCTCTCCTGCCTGTGAAACTAATGCCTCTCTGACAGACTCAGCAGCCTCCCCATCCGCTCGGCCTCCTCTGCTTTCAACCTTAGTTACCAGTGTCAACCTCCTTGCATTCATCCCCCCCTACCTACGCATCAGCCTTCCTTCCATGTAGCACAATTTCCATTTCTCTCCCAATTTCAATGCCTCCCTCGAATACTTTAACTACTTGAGTTCAGGATTCCATTCATTTTTTTTTGGTCCAGGCTATTGCATTAGCCTCCCAGCCGACGTCACTCTTCTAGGGATTGTCTAGTGGCTATAATTTATTAGTGCGCACCCCGTGCTAAGAGGTATACACACGTTCATCTTCAATCCTCCCAACCTAATCTGTTTCTCTTATTTCTGGTAAAAAATAAGGGGAGAACGGAGGCAAATTTAAATGACAAGCAAACTGCCTGTTCTGCCCTCACGAACTGGAGCCAGGGTGGGGCTGATCCTGAAAAGATCACGTGTCCTTTCTGACTTTGAACCCAGTTGCCCCTCCACAATCCCTGGAGTGGGGCCACATCCATCATGATCCTCCAGGGCAGACTCAGCAGCTCGCTGGGAGCCCTGCCCTGCCACCCATGGCTGCAAATCTGGAGGCCCCTGTGCCACGTCACTCAACACAGACTTTAAAACACGCAGCCTTGCTCACTGTGTGCAGCAGCCAATAAACCAGCTGCCAGACATCAGAGCCTTTGCTGCAAGACTGCAGCACCTAAGAGGTCGAGCGCCTTCCCTTCCTTCTCGAGGTGTCCTTGCCCCACTCTGCTGGCCGCTCCTTCCTCTCCAGAGAAGAGACGCCTTCTTCTACTGCCAGCCCCGTAAGCAGTGTTCAGCAGGAAGCACCCTTTGCCTGGTTACATTCACTGGCACTGTCATCTGAAACGAGACGGTTCTAAGCTCTGTGCTTTTTAGCCCTAGTGGGAGCAGCTTGTCAACACCCCTCCTCCATCCTCTCCAACAACACCAAAATGAGCATCTCTACAGCCGTGCCTCATCTTCCCGCCTGTTTCAAGCTGTACTCTGAATCCCTTCATTTGAAGAGTGGCTTTTTCATTAACTGATTGTCTCCTCTCCCTTCCAAACTCATCAGTGAGCCAACCCATGCTATGTCTGGAACAGCTCCCAAACCCATACTTGCCTTCCTCAGTCAGAGCCCTATCGCTTAACAGAGTTTCCTGCTGGGAGTCTCTTTGCTTACACTTTGCTTCTGACTGCTGACATTTGCTTCCCTGTTCTGGTTTCTCAGTTCTAGACTGTAACTTCCTTGGAGAGTGAGCCCTTGTCTCTTTTATCCCTATCAGTCCTACTATTGCTTGTGGTAACACCATGCTTTGCACACCATAAGTGCTTAATAGACTGGCAATAGGAAATGTATCATTTTAAAGGAGCTTATTAAGTAATTAAATATATTCTCTGACTTCTTCCATCCAAGTTAACACTACTGTATATATGCACAGGCCACTCACAGACACACGAACACATGGAATGCCCTTGGCTATCTGTAAGTTAACCTTCTAGCAAACACAATGACAGGATCAATCTCCCAAATAATTAAAACATAAACTGGGTGTTATTTTTATTCCCGGTCTTCCTGGAGGAAAATGGCACAATGCTCAGTAGCAAATGAAAAATTATTTTGCAAATCTATATCCACAAATGCCAGCAGACATGGGTCACACATCTTTCTTCTTTGCATTTTGATCCCATTGCTGTGACGTAGTGTGGTAATTATATTACAAAGCTATTATCCCATGAAATGAAAATGGCAAAACAATTTAAATGCTTGTCTAAAGAGACCCCATTAGAATGCAATTATGAGTGAAATTACAATGGCAAAATAATTGAAATGCAAGTCTTGGAGGCACAGTTGTGAAACCATTAAAATGTTTCTGCCAGGGACTCACAACATGGAGTGAAACTGTATACTCCTGGGGACGCATCTTTAATTCACTAAAGAAGGTGACATTTACAGGCACATGAAAAAATCTGGGCCCCTATTGTTCTGCAGTGTTATCTACACTGCCAACTCCCACCTGCGAGTGTGCTGCCCCCCCTAGTCCCTGGACTCTGTGGATGGCCGATAAGAGTTGCCCATGTAATACGGCACTTGTGCTCCTCAGAAGGGTGATGAGGCATGGGTTGCGCTGGTGTTGACGTGGCTGTAACGTTTCTGATATAAAAGCCAGGATCAGAACATGAAGGGAGTTACATTCTAAATTGAAGCCTATAACTACTAAACATCTGTGTGGATACACTTCTAAGAACCTCTCTTGAAACACTCTACTGATACCTTCTGTTAGCAGAATCGTGACCAATTTTAGATGTCCAGGCTTACACCGATATACTTGCTAAGCAAAGGAAAATGAAAGCACAGTGCTAGATATGAAACAGATCTGCTTAACTGATCACTGTGATGAATGGCCCAGGTCTCTCTGCAGCGTGGCGAGGTCTGCGTTTTGGTGGGTGGACACACAAATGGCCAACAAAAATATGTGAGCCACACCCTGACTCCCACCCCTCACACTTCAGAGTCTGCGCTCCTGGCTCCATTTCTATCAGTTAAACGCAGAGAAACAAACTGTAGGAATGGGCGAAACGGAAGAAACTGTGATGAGGAAATGATATAAATCTTTCTGCCCTTTATGACCAGCTGTCTTCTACTGTCTGAAAGTTAGGAAAAGACCTTTCATTTTAATCACACAGAAAATGTCTCAGCAACCGTGAGGGCAGCAGTACTCAATAAAGTTACTGTGTCTGCATGCAAGGAATTGGATACTTTTTGTTTTTCAAACTTTGGTTTAAAGAAGTCTAGAAAGACAGATATTAAGTATTTTTACTTTGTTTTTACAGACTCCGAAACACATTAAAGATTTTACAAGCACAGAACCATGTCCTTTGAGCAGTGTGGAAAAGGGTTTGAAACCCTCTGGATCAGTGTACCAAGCACCTGCTGGAACTTGAGGGACCGGGGGACACAGCATGGTGCCACATATCCCCGCTTTCTTCTGTTCCCTCAGACTGACCTGGAGCACACCCACAGCTTTGTTAGGATGAGAACCTCGGGGATGGTAACATTCACACAAAGCAAATCGGCTGCCTGGATACTTCATAGAGAGGGCATACTATTTTCAGCATATATCATTTAAATATTAATATAACTTAAACTAGATTTGAAATCATATGGAGAACTGAAATTTTATATCCTGGGCTCAAAAGTACAAACCTTGAAAAAGACATTTTACAAAAGTCACCTGGAGGAGATTCTACAAACAAAGCTAACAGGAAGCAAACATTCACATAGATTATAAGAAAAATAAAAATTAGCAAAGTCTTAAAAATATGTAAGACATAGTATTACACATATTTGAAATATTCATCAGAGTTCTGCAGAATTAACCTCTGCTTTTAGAAAGGTGTCAAATAAACTTCATGTAAAGACTTACCTTTAGGCATTAGTAAAGGAGAAACCAATGCAAAGTTAGTCATGCTACCTACCAACATGCCAATACCGGCGTCTTGGTCAGTGACAGGCCACATGTGTGTCAGTGGGCCCATAAGATTATACTGCCTAATGATATCTTAGCCATGTGTGTGTGTGTAAGTATACTCTATGATCTTGGCCTAAAGATGAAATTATAGAACAGTGCACGTGTCAGAATATTGTCTGTCATTAAGTGGTACATGACTTATAATAGTATAAGTTAAAATACACTACTGTAACATCAAAATGCATCAAAATAAGTTGGCTGGATGGATAGACAGATCTATGACAGACAATGAAGAAACAATAACAAATGTTAACCACAGAGTCCCAAAGGTGGCTATAAACCGGTGCTCACAGTACAATTATTCTGACTTATGTATGTTTTGAGATTTTTCATTATAAAATTTTTGTTCAGAAATGTAATTCTGTAGAGGACAAGAATTTATTCTACTCAGTGATCCCTGTGCTCAACAATACCCATTTCATGGTTAGTCTCCGCGAGGAGGTACTCACCGAGCCATCCAGATCCCGAATTGGGTATGCACAGGTCCGTCTCCGCACTGGGTAACACGAAGCCCACCACAAACACCTCCACGCCATCGGCCATGAGTGCCATCCCCAGCACAAAGAACAGGGCCCACTGGAACCGGCCGTGGCCACACTCCTGGATGATCAGCTCATACTGCTGGGCCAGTTCTTCCTCATCGGCCCTCCTCTCGGACTCCAGCTCCTGACGGTCCTTGTACTCATCCCCCTTGGGCTGCCCTGCAGACACGATGCCATCCTTCCCTTGGCTCATGCTGGGGATGCCCTGGTACTCCCCTTCATAGATCTCATCCTCCTCGTCATGGCCCTCGGTAGCCTCGCTGGAGCCCTCATCCTCGTTGGCTTCCCCATTGTAGGTTTCTCCAGGTGGGTAATCGTCATCATCCTCGTCCTCATCTTGGAACCGGCTGTAGGACCTCTGGGTGTATTCATCCTGGGCCCGGTCCACTGCTTGGTTCACCTTCTTCACCGTCTGTTTCTTCACCTCTCTGGCGATGTCCTTGGCCCCCTTCATCAGTGAAGTCCTATCTTTGTAAGACTCTTCCATCTTCTCTCAGCTGATGACCACGGAGAAGGTGCGACTTGTTCTCAGACTCTGCTTGGTGGCTCAACTCACAGCATGGTCCATGCAGGGTTCCAAACAGAACTGCAAAACAAGAGCAGGGGGAGGAGGGGCGGGTATGCGTTATTCCCTTCCATGTCTTTTTACCACCTATCTCTTGGTTTCTTTTCACTGCCCCATGGACCAAGCCATAGAAGGCATGTTTCTAGGTCTCCCTGTGCATGCACGCGGCCTGCCTGGCTCCCTGCTGATGCGTGGTCAGCAGCTGGAGTAGCTGGGGTACCTGGGGCACAGGTTTGTGGCTGCTGTTGCTACAACTGCTCAGCTAGCAAAACAAGCACGGCCCTGCACAGGCCTGTGTTGAGGAAGACGACAATGCAAAATTAAAGAGTGCGATTCCAAGGTTTTTTACAAAATGCTTTAATAAGGATGCTTCTGTTTCTTCTCCCTTTTCTTTCTCTTTGGGGAACTAAAGGAAAGGGAAAGGGAGGCCAGGAGAGATGGGAGCATCCAAGAGAACAGTAAGAAAAGACGGAAAGGAGGTGAGAAAAGAGGCTGAGGGTGGGGCCTTGGAAGCTCACGAACGAGGCAAGAAAAAAAGAGAAGGGGCAGGGGAACAATGGTAACCACGGTTGGAGGTAGAGATACGTCTTGCTGTAGAAGATGACAGCAAAATTAAGACATTTCACAGAAGAAATAAAACCCACCGCTACCTATCCATGAGATGGTTGCTCCTATCAGACACAAGGCATCAGCGGCTTCCCATACATGACCAATAAACTGATCGCGTCTGGCTTGTCTGCATTTATCCTCAGCCACAGACACTGACCCCACCATCCCGGAGGAGCTTTCCTTCCCAAAGGTTCTTCTGTGGAAGCCACCGCTGTGACAGGCAAAAGGCAAGGAGTCTTCAGTGTCATGGTTATGCCTATAAGGCCGACCATTCTCACTCCTAAGCAATTTGATTGCTTGAGCAATGAGAAATAAAAAAGGCTTTTACATTTAAGATTTTTTCTTCAAAATCTTAGTTTTAATTCCAGCACAGAACAAGGCAAGTGCATATAGAATTTCTTTATTTGACTCAAGGTTCCTCATCCCCAAAAACTGAAGCTCTGGTTAAACTTCTAGATCCTTTTGGGAAGAGAGTGGGTCTTATAATTCTGAATCTCACTGAAGTAAAGATATTTATTTCACTTTTGTTCATAAATCAGGGTAAGTAAGCATACTTATCTAAAGAGCCTGCTTAAAATGTTTGCAGATGGTGCCAGTGGGGGAACTGGCTGAGGACTATGGGCTCTCTCTGAATTCATGCAACTGCATGGAGTCTATAGTAATCCTAAAATAATACAGACTTACAGGAAAAAGTACATTTGTACCATCATTATAAAATGATCCTGGAGCCTGCCTGGCAAGCACAAGGTCCTGAGTTTGAGTCCTGGTATCAAAATAAATAAATACAAAAATAAAATAAAATGATCTTGGAAAATGTTCAGGATGCTTGGCTAGGAAGCAGCCCATTCAGGAGATAGAGTTATATTTTATACCTATTACCACTCTTGGACAAATGCGAAGTTGCCACAAGTTTGGCTCATCCCAGAAGTTGTCTGGGAAACAGCACATAGGTATCTGGGTGGGAAGGTCAGCCCTGAACCAAAGCTGTGGCTCTGGAGGTGGGGCCCACACACCAGCTGCTCACAGCATCATTGGTGTTTGCACATCATCAAGTTTTGTTTCTCGAATAAATACAGTGTGATCCCACATCATATATGTTAGGCACCAATTCAGTGAAAAGCCAAACAAAGCAGGCTGATTCAGTGTTTACACCCCAGGCCCGGCACTAAGAACTTGATGTACACTGCTTTATTCTTTTGTTTGGTGTGAATGCAACCCCACAAAATAGATGTGACAGTCTCCACTACACAGGAGAGAAGTATAGTTGAGAGGGATTATCCAGCCACAGGTCCCGAAGCTGGTGAGAGGAAAAACTGGGACTCAAGCCCAGACTGGCAGGACTCCAAGGCTTGCATCTCAGCCTCAACCACCTCAAGCGATGCTCTGGCCGGGGTTGTAGTAAATGCCACAATCTTCTTTCTACTTATCCTGGTAACATCTTTAAAAATCTCCCAATACTAAAATTGTCTTATAACCTCTTATTTAAATGATCTTTTAAGATTCAAAATAAAATTGTTGTGACGTCTTTCATCAGCGGTGGCTCTACGTGGGGAGTTATTCCAAAATGGGGCTTGTTTGTTCCGATAAACTATCCCAAGATGGTGGCTGAACCTCCCAAGATACAACAATAGTGTTGAATAAGATGTTATTAAGCGGGGAAAGAGGGCAGGAAAGTAGACAAAGCCATGATACTGCCATGACTCCAAGGGACACATGATGTCCCTTTTCACTTATTCAAGTAAGTTTCCTTCTCTAAGAAATAAAGGCACTAACTCTCTTTATAGTATTGTGAGGATTAAATCACTTGCTGTTTACCCTGCTTTTGCCCCACTTTTTTATTACTGCATATTGGCATACAGATTAATATCTTGGGGACCACAAATTCACAATGGCTAATGCTGCATACTTCCCTAAGGGATAAACAGAGGCTTGGGCTTACTGGTATCACCCTTTTGAGATTTTTCACTATTTCTTTAGGGTTGGACCATCCTCTCTCACACACAGAGACTAAGACTAAGAATACTAAAACCAAAGATGGTTGCAGGGCAAGATTCTTTTTAGCATAAGACCACCTCCACCCTCTGAGTTATCCAACAATCCCCTCCTCAAACCCTTTCTTCAAAAAAAAAAAAAAAATCCCTTCTTCAATCAATATATGCTAAGGTTCTGGCTGCCTTGTGGCCTTTTGTTCCTCGTGAGCAACTGGTCATCCTGGGCTCTGGCTGTACTGCCCTTTTGTCTCTTGCTCTTTCTTTTTTTCTTTCGGCCATGCACTATAACACCTGGCAGGAGATTGAGGCTCACCGCAGGGGCCCCTAATATTAATGGGTTTCATTTTTGCAGACCTGTACCTGCACATAACATGCTTTATTCATTCCCCCAGCATCCGTGCTTTCCTAGTTCCACATTTTTGGCGGGGAGGTTCAATGTGTACAATGTATTCTGATCACATTCATGCCCCCTATTAAACTCTCCTCCTACTCCTTCCTTCCCTTCTTGTTGTCTGACACTGTAACTGTCCACATGTTTTCAGGATAGAGTTAGGCGCTATCATAAGGAGTGGGGTGCAAATCATTCCTGAAGGAGAAGAGCTGAGAAACGAGCAGGGAGAAGAGCAGCAGGTCTGCAGTAGAAGCAGAGTCCAGAGGAACGTGCTTCAGGCTGAGCTTGCAGAGGAGCTCTGGGATGTAAGGGCTGCCTCAGTTTCTCCACATGGTTGAGCTGCTGGGTTTTCGTACGCCCTATCATGCACTGTGGGCCAAGGGCCACCTGGGAGTGACCGTGGAGGGCAGGTACTCCCATCTCTGTGCATCGAAAGACAAAGCCCCTCCAGCAGCCCAAGTGCCATCCCCAGAAGAAGAGGCACAAGTGCTGGCCCATGGGAGCAAAGGAAGCCAGGCAAGAAGAGCACAGAGGCAATGAAGGAGATCCAAGAGGGTCTAGGCAGCACACAAACAGCATCTTCTCTAACAAACATTAAAAATAATTCTTCCTCCTCTTCTTTGTGGTACTGAGGATTGAACCCAGGGCCTTATTCATGAGAGGCAAGAGCTCTACATCCCCAGCCCGTAAATTCTTGTTTAGACACCCTGCTCATTATGCTAAGCTACAAGACTTGCAGCTTATTAAAAATTGCATTTCTAGCAGTGGCTGCTTAAACCAAATAACATTCATAAGCGAGGTAGTTCTGATAGATTCAAGGATATGCACCACCATGAGTGACAATAATCTTGCACAAATACATAAAATACAAAAAGTTCTACACATCAATGAGTTATTCTGGCAAAACAGCCTCAGTTTTTTTTCCTTCTTTGATGGTCCACAACAAACAGCATGTATCCAGTAACACCGTACACTATTTCAAAACCACCCTACACATGCTCCTACCACACACAAGCCCCACGCACTGCCAGAGACGTTTCTGTTTCCCAACACTGCCCACACCTCCAGTCCTTCTGCTTTATTCCTCATCACCATCAAAGATCTCAGATGGCTCCACTCCCCCGAACATGCTCAAATCTGCTGGATACTGCTGGGAGAATTCATTTTTCTCATATCTGGATTACGCAGCTTTGAAGCCATTGTACACTCACCGCTCAATGGTAGCTAATCTACTCCTAGGCCAGCCACGGGCTAAGCAAGTCAATCACTCAATAATCTTCACAACAGTCAAATGGGGTAAGTGATAGTAAAATCCCATAAATATGGAAACTGAAACCAATGGTGGTTCTCGAAGTGTGGTTTGAGAGTCCCCCGAAAAGCCCTAAGACCATTCAAGCAATCTGTGAGATCAAAACAATTTTAATAACGATAGAAAGATGTTATTTGACTCTTTCACTCTCAGTTCTCATAAATGTATACTGGCATTTTTCACAAGCTACATGATATATAATGACTTCATTGCTCTGGTGGCTAGTATGTTTGTAGGTTTTTATATTTTCAAAAGCATGATAGTTTTAGTTTCTCATATGATAAAGATCAACAAATATAACCCACAAAAATGAAAGCTCTTTTGCCATTAGTGAGTTTTAAGGGTGAATAGTGAGTTTTGAGACCAGATCAAAAAGTTCAGAACCACTCTTTTATAGGACTCCTTTCCTTCCTGCACTCAAGAGGACTTTGGTTATGTTTACTCTTGATTGTATCAACCTGACTGACTTAAGAGTCACCAAGCGGATTGCTTAAGCACACTTCTAGGTACATCTCAGTGGGCCATGGAGGTGTACTGTTGGATGTATATCTGGTCCTTCATCCTTGGTCTCTAGCAGTGTTCTCCTGCTTTGCTTTCTGACCATGATGAATGCATTTTTTCA